TAGCAATAAGAAAAGCAATAATAATAGCAGGGGCAAACCTGTGGTTGGATGCAGAGCTCGCGAGCGTCATTTTCATCACGCCGCTAGCGTAAAAAAAAAAAATTGTTTCGGTTAGCAGCCCACTTTTTGCAACAGCCAATAGGGTATTTCAATGGAGCCTGAGAAGGAATTAAGAAGAACAAAAACGGATCCAGAGGGCGGTGGTGGGGGATGACGAGGGTAGGATTGGTGCTTGGCTGCTCTACACTCCTCGCACTCCTCCCCGCGTCTACCCCCAACTACCGCTCTCTGAAGCCGGTTTTGTTCTCCTCACTTCTCCCTTTCCGGGTCCCATTGAAATACCCTTTAATTAACAGGTAGACATTGGGCTATTTAGCTAATACTTCTGAACTAAACCAGCTTTTCGAGCTGCCGTGATTTCCATGCCTTTGTTGCAATTTTTGTGCAAGCGTCGGCTAGCGGCTTGATTTTCTCGCAAGATTGAGGTAGCACCGGGGGCAATAACCCTGGAAATCATGTGATCACACCGGCCCGGGAATCAGCGGAAAATAATGAAAATCACGATGGAAATCAACGGGAATCGTGGATACCGGGAATCATGTGTACGCTTGAATTCAGAGTTATTGCCCCCTCGTGCAGCACTTAGGGGATATGTGCACAGCAAACATTCTCCCTCGAAGTTCCCGGTTATTTCCGGAAAACATTCCGCGCTTTCTCTGTCGCATGCGCAGAGCACAAGGATGACGAATTGTCGTGTTTCACTAATTTTGTGTTTTTGATGGTTTGTGAGCCTAACAGGTAGAAATGAAGTTGGGCCGTCCTTAGATTTGTTTTATAACTAGTTTGCCGCCATAATTCCCTCAAATACGCGTTTTTTCATCGAAAACTCCTGCATAATCCTCACATTTGGGGCGGGAAAATCGCACTGGGAATTCCTTTTCCGGATTGGCCGAAGACTTCACGGGAAAATATTTGCTGTACGAGAATATGCTCCGCCAAACTTGCGCGGAAATCACGCTGATTCCGTTCAGAAGTATGACTGGCCGACATAGCCCCACATCGGCACGTCTGCCTATTGGCTATTGCGTGAAGTCAGCTATTAACCAGGGCAACTCTTTTCCACGTTATCTGCGTGAAAACCACGCTCGTGTCTTGTTAACTACCTTTGGTTTTTCGTTAAACGCCTCAATAGACCTTTTTTGCAAAACCATAAAGGGCCCAGCCTGTCTCCCTCTTAACTCCGGTGGTGTCTCCAGTAAGGTTCTATCTCTCTCTCTCTTTTTCTCTAGCACCGGTCAAGCGGAGTGTAGCCACTAGAGTTCCAGTTTGCACTTTCAGCCTAAACTTGTCTGTTGTTCTTGTCTTCCAGCGGGCCCTTCGACGTAGTGGCGCAGATCCTCAGGCTGTAAGTACACTCTCTTCCGAAAGTAACCGCGCGCACTCACTCTTTTTGCTTTCTGGCTAATATCGTAATTAAATTTACTACCTACTGCTGCTCTTCATAAAATCAACATTTCAATACCGTCTTTGGAACAGTTGTGTTTTTTCGCGATGCATGACGTGCTTACAATAATCGGCGTTGTGTCGTTATCGTTTTTATTATTTATTACAAACGTCACCGTATTGCAGTGGAAATTGAAAACGGGATTTATACACTTACAAACAACGTGAATGAGACTGTGGGTTCCAGAACTTTGGAAGTACACTCTTGCCTTGGAAGGCGTATAAGAAAATCAAAATAATAAAAAACAAAAAGAACGAAAGAAAACGAGACCTGATATGAGTATGTTTGAAATAACGTGTTAAATAAACGTAAATTATTTACAGAGTACACACTAAAAGCTTCCATAGCTTACTGAGCATGTACACAGAACTCAGTAAGCTATGAATTAAAAAGTTCATGAGCTTCTAGTGTGTAATGCACATTCCCCGACTTGGTCTTCATCCTTCCGATGTCATACTTTCGATATTGAGGGGAAGCTATTATTTTTTCTACCCTTCTGTCCGCTGCTTTGTCGTTCAAAAAAATAACAATGTTACACTTTTGAGCACTGGTGTTTCCGGTTTTCTATGAAGATGGAGACCAACATGTCTTTGAAATTTTACACAATCTTTTGTCTCAGATGGGATCTTTTATAAATGTAGTTTAACGAGGGGGCCTTCGTCATTTCTGCCCGCACTGGCTCCAGGCTCTAATCCTGACGAGGCCCGCGACTTTAACCCCACCCCCTTTCTTACAGTCCTGCCCGCACTGATCTCGCCGCCCTCCCCTCTATTCCCCTCTCCCCTCCCTGGCTCCTCCTTTCCTAGAAGCCGTGCCCTCCCCTCTCCTCTACTCCCCCTTCTTGGCCTTTGGACGGAAGCTCACCCGGGGTGCGTTCTCTGGTCCTTCCAGGTGGAGGACGACCGGAAGTGCCGGGAGCAAGTCGACCGCGTGTTCCGGAAGCTGGACCTCAACCAGGACGGCGTCATCACGATAGAGGAGTTCATGGAGTCTTGTCTCAAGGTGAGTTGGTGCAGCAGCGTGGTGAGTAGGCAAGCCGGTCGAGGGCCCAACGCGCCCTGGGCCTGTTCGCAGGGACCGGTAACTTACCACTTGGGTGTTACAGTTACAGTTCCAATATCAAACTTATCCTGCATGACCTAAAGTTGCACTGTTGACACAATTGTCACTTATTACCATGCTCTATCTAATGTAGGGCACCCAGTGCCTCACATTAGCTAATGTGTGTGTTCTGTTATAATTGACATACTAGCGTTCCAGTCGTTCAGAAACATGACTATATCTCTATGTGATGCGGATTCCGAGATTAAAAAAGGGCCCTCCGAGAACAATAATGCTCGTTCTCCCAACTACACCGAAAACGCAAGTGTGTGAATGTCGCTAACTTGTAAGTGCGACATTCGTACACATGTGTGAATTTCATGCAAAGAGAAAGATAAGCGGTAGAAAGGAAATCATGAAGAGCAAGTTACTAGAAGCCAATGAAAGGACGAAAAATGGAAATATTTTAACGTTAAGAAAATTGACACCTACACATCTATTTATGATAGACGTCTGAATCTAGGACGAAATTGTGCACTTAGATCATCCAGTAGATGTCTTTGATAGACATCTAGTAGCTGATCTGTCATCTATACATAGACATCTAAAAGATGTCTTTAAGTCGTTTATTTTCCCTGTGGGAGTTACACCTTCATACCCCTTTTATGTGTACGAACGGGCGTACACACACTTACTTGCGTTTCCAGTGCACGAAGTCTGTGGTGGGAACAGTAAAGAACGAGTATATTTTCTCTCGTCAACACCTCGATACGTTGTTCCAGGACGAGATTATCACCCGCTCAATGGCCATGTTCGACACGTCACTGTGATCCGAAGAGACGTCGCCCTTGGGCGTGCCTGCCAGCCTCGTGGCATGCCTGGGCGACCTGGCCATCTCCGACACGACCACGCCCTCGCCGCTGTGCTCGCTGCACGCGGGCCACGCGGCGCCGGGACCCTCCTCGGCGGGCGCCTCTGCTGCGGGCGGGCCGCCGTCCTGCTCGGCGGGGCCGTCGCGCAGCCCGTCGCGCGGGTCGGTGCGCTCGGGGCGGGTGCGCTTCAGCGTGGAGGCCCAGGTGCTGCGGGACGAGGCGTGCGCGCTGGACTCGCTCGAGTTGGCGTCCCGCGGCGGCGGCCTCCCCGGCGGCGTCCTGGACGTCTGGGCGCCCGTGGCCGCCCCCATGGCCGTCGTGGAGGCCTCCGGGAGCGGGTGGCCGCCGTCGCCCCGACCGCCGGCCGCCGCCGGCTGGCCGGACGAGGGCGAGTTCGGAGGGGACAGAGTGACGCTCCGGAAGAAGCCGGCCGCGGCCGCGGAGGGTGGCGGCAAGCCACCGCGGCCCCGCAGCAAGGAGACGGACGTGTGACCAAAGCAAGCAGCTGGCGTCAGCAGACTTCTCTTTTTTTTCGTGATTCCTATTGTACAAGTTATTGGCAGTTGTGAGGCTACTCCCGTCGGCTCTACTCCGCGGCCCATAACGACGCGCGCGCCGCCACAGCGGCAGGCAGGCGCTCGAGCGCTGGGTATCGCTGCACTTTGGTGACGGGGGACTCGCGGCTCGGGACTTCCCTGAAACTGTCATTGTTAGGTTTTGAAAAAAATAAAAATAAGCAAGTTTCCGGTAATGATGTGCGCATGTGATCCGCGAGGAATCGCCGTAGCTATTTGATCTGATATGCTACACGATTTGCGAGACGTGGCTCCTTTAGACTCTCCCGGTGGCACCACCAACCTTACCCAGTGAAAAGCAAAACGTCGAGACGATATTGAAAAAACGTCGGGGCGAGTTTGTTCTGGGTTTCGGTTTAGATCTCACGACTCATAGGGCCAGACGCTCCGACGATATCTAGATTTGATACAATCATGATGATAAAATTTTGACAGTTTTGCACTGCCACTTAAGTCACGTTGACGCCAATGGTCGAAAACTTGTGCAGACTTTTGATTCACAAGTTAGCTGGGCACAATTTGGGGGGATATTCATTCGCAGTGCATCATGGGAGCAACGTCGACTTTCATCAGTAAAAAAGAAAACTTACATCGCACTGCCACAATCTGTGTCTCTCATTGTCTCTTCATTGTACTTTTTTTACTTCGAGACTGAAAACAAATCCTTGTTTTACACACTATAGCATGTGTGTTAGCTCACATATTCAGTTTAATTTTTTTAACAAATTAAATAAAAAATGAAAACAAATATTCTTAACAAACCACATTGCAAATTGATTGGTGCGAAAGAGGCATTTGATGTTAAATAATTTTCACTTGTAGAGTAATAAAATTCCTCAATTTCTAGATTCTACTTGTGGAGGTTTGCACTCGCAAAAAATGTGTTCTGATCTTGATAAAATTGATGTGCCATAACACATCCATCCTGTTACTATACAGTTATTTTGCGAGTGTTGTCCTCTGTGGGAGTCCTGCTCATACTAGTTCGTTTTGCTATGGATCATTTATGTGACTAGCAACCATAGTTAAGGCATTACTTCTAGCGTAGATGAAAGATGGGTCAAATATTGTAAAATTTTTGGTTTAGCTAGGACAGTCTTAGACCTTAATCAAATGCCATCTACATTTTAAACATTCTAAAATAGCAACAATGCTCGTCTTGTTTCGTCAAACTTCCAATGTCTATAAATTTGTCCATAAAAGATCAGTATTTTTCAATTCTGGGACTTAAATGTAGGCGTAGTGTCAAGAACATCATGCATCATCTTTGTCTTCTGTGACAAAAATGATCAATAAATCATTCCCACACCATCACGAGAGAAAGGCGCCCTTTCGCTCGTGCCGACATAAAATCTATAGTTTAATAGTTTACCATGAATGAAGTATTTGCTGTAGACTAACAAATGAAATAAAATTTTACTGTTTCAAATGACAGAGTTTATGTTCATTTCTAGTCTACCCAATTCATACCGTGTGTTTTTGTTTGACCCAAGAGGCAAGGTCCCAAGGGGCACACCTAAATTTGTCAAGATGATAGAATGTGCCAAATTTTGAAAATCTTGAATGACATAAATTACAAGGAATCGAGAACGTCACGTGGCCTTATGACGCTATTTTAGTCTGTCAAAATGAACTTGATTCCATTTTAGCCAGCACCTAGGAAAGCGAGTTCTTGACCAATGATTTCGTTAGAACGTTTGTATCGGCTATGCAAGTCAATGTTCTCGGTATAGCCGTCCGAACACATATGGGCGTGAGTGACATCACCTTAGTCATCTCGACCGTAAGCTGCAGTAAAGCCTGCTGCCGTGTCTGTAGCTTACGGCCAGTTTTCGGCGTAACTTAGCTACGATAAATATGGCTGTAAAGATATTGTGGTACAGGGTTCTATATAGCTTACGGTGAAATTCACCGATGCTGAGAGTATTGTTAAATTAACGGTAAAGTTTTAACAGTGCATTATCACAATATCTGTTTATCAAAGAAAAGTTCATTCTAACAGCTATCTGGAAATTTTAAGCGAGTAGTTTCTTCGTTGTTTATGTTGATGGCAGATTAATAGCCATTGATTTTAGGTTACATTCTTGATTGACAGTAAGATTAACATTTGGATGTATGGCATCGACTTTATTGCCATGCATTGTAACAGAAACATCGGATTCTTCTTGGCTAAAAGCAATCTTTACAGATACTTCCAGAAATGCGCTATTATATTTTCGAGCCAAAGCTTTTCCTTCCGCCGAGGCAACCTGCAAAGCAAGTTTGCATGTAGCAACAACAAACTATAGGCAAAACTGGAAAACAAAGGTGCTAAGGGCTGCCTTCAAAATGCACTAATTTTAAGCACCATTGCTGCTAGGTGTCCCAGTCCCATATCTGTTTGTTTTATTTTTGTTTAGTGTACCACCTGAAAACGTTCCCTTGTTAGCAACATTTTTTTTCAGTGTGTACTCTGTACGATTTAAATAACTCGTGACAAGCATATGCACCGGACATATAAAGAGGTGGGGAGAGAGAGAGAGAGGAGGGAAATGAGTTCATGACACTCTGACGCGCTGACGCGTCGCCGAGAGGAACACAAGACGGAAACGAAGCCCCACACGCCACCATGCCACGGCGGCCGCGGGCGTCAGAGTTGTTTCCAAACTCGGTGGAGAGGGGGGGGGGGGTCAGGAACACCACACACAGACTGAAGACGAGCCAAAAGTAACCCCGTCCCTCCCCGCGGGCCGCCAGGACGCGCGGTGCGTACGCCGGCGTTGCGCCCGCTATATCGGGAACCGCTTATGATGCCCCTGCGCGTAGCGCTGCGGGGCGGGGCGGGGCGGGGCGGGAGAGTCGGGCCTCGGGCGACGGCGGGTGCAGTCGTCTCCGACCATCTCTCCGCCCCGGTCGCGAGCGAGCGCGTCATGTCGAGCGTGCCATCGAACGAGAGACAACTTCTGTGACAGTCACAGTTTCGAGTGGACTCGATAGGTGCAGCGCGCGATCGTGCCAGCGGACGATCAAGCGAACCTCGTCAATAGCGAGCGCTGTTTTGGGACCTTGGGACCTTTTCGCCCGACGGTGTTTCTACACCGTCCCGCACTAGTCGAGTCCAAGTGCGTGCTCCTGATCCTGATGAACATGTCGTGGTCGGCGAGGTGCATCCTCGTGGTGGAGGCCGTCCCCCCGGAGTGAGGCCCGCGCCATGCCGCTGCCGGCCGGCGCGCCGCTGCTGCTGACGCTGCTGCTGCTGGCCCTCGCGGCCCAGTCCGATCAGGCAGGTCAGCTCGAGGGTCAGCCAAGATAACGAAGCTAATGACTAGCCGACGACGTGAGGCTGTGGACATGATCGCCGACGAAATAATAACTCACTTCTAAATGTAAAGGAACCATGTTGTTGGGATTTGAACCCTATCCCATGTAGGGGCTTGATCAAAGCGGAATTTTGAGCTGAATGCGGAAATATAAGTTCTACAAACCTTTGGTTTGCTTCATCAGAAAATATTTGGGAAAAACTAAAACGTTAACGCCTTTTGACTTTAACGCCCCTTCAAAGGTGTTAATTCACACCTTTGTTTTACCAGTGTAGATATCGGGACAAGTTGTGACAAGAAAGTGGTCGCACATTTCTGCACTATCTGTTTACATGATCCGTTCCTTGATCAATTTTTTTTCGAGATAACTTGAATGTCAACGTAAGTGGGATATATGACTAACCCTCACTATCAGCCTGTTACTGACAAATTTGTCAGTATCCCTGCTGTACAAAGCCCGTTACGAACTTGTACAGCAGTAATACTCACAAGCTTTGTGAGTAATATGAAATATTTTGAAATTTGATACTCACATAGTCATTAAGTCCACTAAGAAAAACATTGTTCATAATTACTAACAAAATTATCAATATTATCTCACAAAATTTGTGAGTAATTAACTACTGCTGCTCACAAAGAAGTTCGTCGTCCACTCAGAATAAAGTATGTAACGGCCTGAGAGTGCTCGTTCGAAAATCATTGCGCCTTTTGTTTTTGACAGAGGTAATAGACATATCGGGCTTCTCAGAAAGGGGGGGGGGGGGTATCTTCGACTCCTCGATGCGGGCGACTGCTGGGAGCTGCAGTGCAGTCAGTAGTGCAAAGGTCGCAGAGGGAGCGGCGAGCACAATGCTGGGATTGGAGTTCGACGGCAATGAATCAGAATTGAGTCGAGTACTTGAACAACTTGACACGGAATTACTCCCCAAGCCATTTCTTCAATTTCTGCTACATGCATAACCCCATTCAGAGAGCTAGCTTGGCATGGAAGCCAATGATAAACAGTTTGGGGATTTTACGTGTGGCTTCGTGGAAACATCCTAGCCCCCCCCCCTCCTTTTTTATCCTTTTCCACGGCCTTACCGGTAGAGCTGTCCCTGTTCACAGATCCACCGCCGGTGATCCTGTTCCCAGAATCTGACGTGTACACGGTAAGCAAATCAATGTGAGTGTTTGTGTGTGTTTGTGTCAGTGCGTGCGCGCGCGCGCACGTGTGCGAGACAGATTTCTCTCTAGACTACTAGTAGAGCTGCTCCAGTTGCCTCCGGTAAACGAAGCTCTCCGATCACCATCTAAAAATACACACAGAAACGTACTTTTGTTCTAAATCAACTGAAACAGCACTGGAAAAACAAAGCCAGCACACCTTCGAGCAATGTTTATCGAATCGCCACTCTGATAAACAATTCTTCCCTTCACACCGTCGTACCACATACACGAATTCGTTTAGTGTTACTAAATGTAGATCATTTAAAGGCCCATTTACAAAGGAGGTTTTTAGGAGTAGGCGTAAGGTGCGGAGTAGGAGAGGGAGATTGGCCATCTCTTACGCCTACGACCTACCGGACCTACAACCTCCATTGCAGATGGGCCTTAATAATTAATGTGTCTATAACTATCTAAAAAATGAAAGTAACTGTATTCTTAAACATTATGAAAAGAAACTATTGCTTGATGCATATGAGTGAAGCATGTTACTTTGTTTAGCAGCTACAGATATTTTATTAATTTATTATCATTTTAATATTATTCATGCTGAGCCGAGAGCGGTGGACCTGGGTGCGACCTGGGCGCGAGTGTTGGACACGAGTTCGCTGCGAGTTTTAGCAATCTGAACGCTATTTTTCGCGATTTGGGTGCGACCGAAAATGTCCAACGAGTTGGCGACTAAGTGACTAAGGGGACCATCGGGCAATTTGCACGGTCGCGCGCCTGGCGAGGGTGGGTTGGGTATGGGATCGTCCAGAAGGTACGTCCATTTTCCTCAGATGCATTTGCCTCATTACGGGAGCTGGGCGCCTGCAAGACTCGGGGTAGGCCACCCCGCAGCACACGCATGCACTGCAGACAAGAAGTTGCCTACCTAACAGGCGCTATGAGTTCTCGTAGAGACTAGACTTGGCAGGTCCGGGACGGCGAATGGCGGACGTACTTTCTGGATGGTCCCTATGGCTTCGGCCGCGCGAGTCACACAATGCAACAGCTGCTTTGCGTTTCCAGGACCTGGTGGCGCCGCCGCTTGCCTCCGACAACGCCGGCCGCCGAAGAGAGGACACCCCGCCACTTGGAGATGGGGAGGAGACCGTCGCCGCCCACGTGTGTGAGTGAGAAAAGGGTTTTATACCACGCAGATATGTTGGTACTGAAAAGCCACTCAGCCATTTTCGCCCTTTAATTTTTTCCTAAATCCTCGAGCCAACAAACTGTTTGATGCTTTGCAGACGCGCCGTGCTGCGCGCAGGCCGCCGACGCCGACCCCGCATGCCTCCGGGCGTGCCTGGCCGCCTTGGACCCCCAGGACGGCGGCGGCGTCACCCTCGGCCGGCTGCTGGACGGGCTGCAGGCCGGAGGCTGCCCCCTCGTGCCACACGTACGTACATCGTGATGTGAAAATCGCACTCAGGTGTTTGAGTGCCAATACGCACACTTGTGGGTGTGTCAACGCTATTCATACATATGGAGCCACAAGTGGTGCATTTTCAAAGGAAAGTTAACACCCTTACGCCCTTGTGTGTTCGGAAGGGCTTTCACATGCCAACAATAAGTGTACGAATAGGCATTCCATGCACACGCCTACAAGTGTACGAATGGGCCATTCACACTCTCACAACTGAACGGATATCTGCTTGCTTGCAGGGGCCGCTGTTCCTGTGCCTGGTGTCGCGCTCGTCCGGCGCGGTGCCGACTGCCAGCAGCGACGCTGCGGTGAGGATGAGCGCGGGTGGGGCGGGGGCGGCCACAGTGCTGGATGCGGCGCGCCTGCACTGCTGCGCCCTGGCCCGCGCCCCCGCCTGCCGCCGCGCCTGCGACACTGCCTATCGCGAGGACTGGAGCGCGGCCGGCAGCGGCGGCGCGCTGCAGCAGTGCCTTGCCAGGGCCAACGAGACCGCGCTAGCCTCTTGCCTGGCGGAAGGTGAGGGGGGCCCAAGCTCACGGGGCAGCTCCACAGTTGTTGTAAACTCCAGGGCTCCGTAACTTGTCATAACACGAGCGAATTCGCTCAACATTAATGTTGGTCATTTAACGTAACAAAACACATGTTTAAGTAAAATTTAAAGTAATGGATTTTTCAAATATCACCGATATTAACAGTAGATACTGTGGGGAAAAGTTGGAAAAGTCGAATAACTAACTTATTTTAAAATGGCTACATAAAAAGGTTTAAGTTATAATTAACTTTATATCTTAAAATAACGTTAATTCCTGTTAAGTAATACGTTACGGAGCCCTGTGTAATTCTCGTTGTAATTTTTATTTACAAAACATTCCCAGAAAATGGTATACTTCAACCAAGGATAATTCTGTTAAAGAAATACAAGGAAATTTTTGACCTTGGTTCCAGGTTTTTCCGTTGTTTTCAAGGAAATTAAGTCAATCTAAGAAAATTTTTCCTATATTTTGCAAATATATGCCATCATGATGGCATTTGCCTTAAGTTAAAGACAATTTTCCTTTTATTTTTTGGGTGTAAAAGTGGTGTTGAATCTCGCATTCCGCAAGGTACCACTTTCTGTGAGTATGCTGTAAATTTGTGACAGGCCATAGTTTTGTTTGTCGATCAATTCCAAGTCAATACAAAGCGCTTGTAAATTTACAATTTTCGAGGAGAAATTTTACGACACGCTGAAAATTTACGCGTAAACCCGCGACTAATTTTCACAGTGGTACCGCGATAATTGCTGAGCTTAACTTGAACTTGAAATTAAACTTTAACTTTAAATGTTTAGCTCTGTCAGGAAGCGCAAGGGGAGACCGCCCGGAAGACGGCGTGAAGTGAGGCGCCTGGCGTGAGACGTGGGATGTGAGGTGGTCTATACGGACATGAGCCCGCCTGGAGTTGAGCCCGAACCCCTGTAGGCCGAAGCAGTGTCCGATATGAGACTAGCTGGACGTAGCCAAGACCAGAGCTGAAGAGTCAGGACTCGGAACTGGGCTTATATCGGGCATTGGTCGGGCCTACAGTGGTTCGGGCTCAACTCCGGGCGGGCTCATGTCCGTATAGCCGTGAGGTGGACAGGCATGCCAACCAAAATCGCGAAAAAAATTTAATTTTAGCGCGCCGCAGGCCAAGGTAGACGCACATTTAGCTCAGCTTCAGACGGTTTTAATGTGCGTCTACCTTGCATTTATCACTCCTGACTGAACATTCACTTCCTCCCTCTTTCTCTCTCTGGCAGTGGACGCGGAGTGCCGGCCCGGCTCGCACTGCTCCGGACTTGACTTCTGCGCCGGTCTGCTGGGGCCGCCCTCCTGGTTCCGCTCCTGCTCGGGCCAGGCCGACGCCGCGGCCCGCGCCACGGCGGCGCGCTGGGCGCGCACGGGCCGGCTGGACGCGCTGCAGGAGGTGCCGCTGCTGACGGGCACGGCTGCCTGCGGCGCACGCCTCTGGCGCGCCCTGTCCTGCGTGCTGCACGCCCAGCCCTGCTCGCCGCGCAGGGGGACGCTGCCCCTGTGCCTGCAGGTCGGTGCCACACCCTGACTTTGACACAGCGATATTAGCCATTATTGACACATGCACTGCACACTCGAAGCATCAAGAAAAAGAAAAATATACCGAAATGCGTTACGTCACAAAATGGGCGATATTAGATCGCAAAATGTTGAGGAGGTATGGGATATGGTACCGAGGCCTGCCCATGATATTTGTGGAAGGTCGACGCGGGGTGGGGCGGTGGGGCGGTAACGCGGTCAAGGGTGGAGGCTGGAGTGCGAAGGGCGTCAGGCCGTCAGGCGTCAGGGCCAGACCTGTTTACTGCTGGCGATGGGATTATGCAAGGGGCTGGGGTAGAAGTCGGGGGAGGGAGAGACCACAACAGCGCCCCCTCCCCCTCCTCCCTCCCTCGAGTTGGGACTCTGCTGCAAGGGCCCTGATAACGCCAGGTGCGGTTGCTGCAACCCTTCAAGGTTAACACTAATAGCTCTCTGGTCAACACAAGTTACGCAATCGGAGTGGTCGGAATCAAACTTATTCTGCGCGCCCGATTCTCTGCGCGGGGCGGGAACAAGCTACATTAATCAAGAATACTCTCAGCGTTTAACAGTATTTAACCGAAAGTTTGCAGCTGCGTAGTGGTTCTTCCGTCGTCTTCACTTTTCGGCTATGACTCCAACAATTGGCTGCGAATAGTTATAGAATAATCCATCACCCCGATCACGACGATTGTGCTCTTGTCTCTGTGGCCAGGACTGCCTTCGCCTGCTTCCCGCCTGCATCCACTGGTCCGCCGTGCCGGCCGGGTTCTCCGCCGAGCAGCTGTGCCTCACGATGTCGGCCCCGCCACCCTGCGTCCGGATCCCCGAGGACGGCGACGTGGCCGGGGCCGATGGCCACTCCGCAGAGAAACAGCCCGCCCCCGCCGTCGACAGGGCCGGGCCGGGCCACGCCGACCTGCAAGGGTCGCCGTCGGCGGCCTCGTGCCGCTTGGGGGCTGCCTCCGACGTGGAGGTCCCTGCTGGCACGGCCGTCCGCGTGCCCGCCCGGAGCTCGCCGGCCTGCTACGACGCCTGCCTGTGCCAGGACGGCGTCCTGGGGAACTGCGCCCCCCTGCCGTGCGCGCCGCACGCCTCGCGCTGCAGCCTCGGCGCCGGCACCATAGGTACGGCACGCTCGGGCCAACCTAGCACTACTTTGTTTTCTTTTAGTTGCATCTTGTTTCGTTTGTTTTTTTTACTCGGATATATTTTGCTTGTTCTTCAGAGCACCGGCGTACCGTGGTCATGGACTGTTTGGTGTGCACCTGCTCGTCGGGGGACACCCTCTGCACGCAGAGGCAGTGCGCCGCCCCCGCCGCCCCCGCCGCCCCCGCGTGGCCGTGCCGCTGCCCCCGGCACCACGTGCCCGTCTGCGGCGACAACGGCCGGACGTACGACAACGCGTGCCTGGCGCGGTGCGCAGGGCTGGTCGACGCGCAGGTGCAGCCGGGGCCGTGCCCGCTCCGCGACCCCTGCGCCAGCGGCAGCCTCGGCAACGCGTCCTCGCCGTGCCCGCGCGGGCAGCTCTGCCTGCCGGACCGCACCGAGTGCCTGTCCACGCTGGTCCAGCCCTGCCCTCAGTTCCAGTGTGGTGAGGACACAGAACGGAACGTGTATCCAAGGGTTACTCATATGTTCAAGAAAGTACAACCCTACAAAGAAAAGTCAGAACAAAAGCTCACAAAAAATATTTCAATAATGGAAAAAAAATCGCAAAAAAAAAGAAAGGAAAACAGAGAAATGTGTGTACGCTTGAATTAATAGTGAGGAACTCCTCGGATGGATCACATTCCACATTACAAGCTTGAAGTGTGACATCCTTCGTATGTCGCATGTGTGGTGGTGTGTGACCAAATTTTTGGTCAGGTTTCGGTGTGACCACCTGTGTGTTGTTTTAACGCTATTTTTACCTCAAAAAATACAAGGAAAATTGTCTTTAGCTTAAGGCAAATGACGTTAAAATAAATTGCAAATTTCCTTCAACTTAATTTCCTTGAAGTTAATGGAAAAACCTTAAACCAAAGTCAAAAATTACCTTG